ATTCATATAATTGGAGTACTACTTACTATTCCACTTTTTGAAAGTAGCCATTCTAACAGCTGTACTCATGCAGAAGATCTTATAGTTGAATGGTGCACTAAAATTCTGATGCAAGGTTTTTAGATTCCAGAGTGCCTTATGCTCACTGGAAAAGAAAATGATATGTACCTATTTTAGAAATAAAAAGGGATTTGTAATTGTAACCATTTTTCTTGACTAATATTTGAGATTTTAGCTCATTACAATGTTTGCACACCAATGTGAAAAAAACTCCCTTTTGTTCTAGGGAGATTTGCACCTGCACAGTTACCAGTGCTTTCAATGCTTTGAGGTTTCAGATGTAGACCATTGAATGGAAAAAGTTAATATCGGGACAAATTACTTACAGAAAGAATTGATTAGCTCTGGTGTTATTAGTAAAGGGAGCTGGGTAAGAGAGCTCAGGAATTGCTGAACTGCCACTTTGGCTTTCAGTGGTGGTATGTATTTCCCTGTTAATTTTTTTGGTACTGTCTAGATAAAAGTCCAACTGTTAGCAACAGCTATTTGCATTTTTAGAAAATGTTGGCAAATCCCTCTAAGCGATTAAGGGGTTACCTTAAGATTTAACACCTCTTCCACTCTGGTTTAATGGAATAAAGCCCATGGATCTTGCATGGCTATAGAAAACCACTTATTTTTCCCAGCTAGAGTAAATACTCATGTATATCTTATTCCTTCCTCTGTGTGTACAGATAAATTAGTATTTGAACTTCAGGCAATTTAGAGTAAAATAATATATTTCAAACGTAAATCAATCTTCCTTTATTTATATTAATATTGGATTTGGGCATTTTTTCCCAGTAATTTTGCATATTGCTCAAATCAGGAAAATCTTCAAGTGCATTCTACTTTTCTGTTGGTCGATATTTTTTTTTCCAGTTTTCCAATTTGTGTGCCTCTGATTACTTTACAGTTTTTTGAAGGACTCAAAACAGAGCTATATATTTATTTGGTATATCCGTAAATGGTGGGAAGCTTATATTCTGCTTTAATTTATTTTTATTATTTTTTAAAATTATCTCAATTTATATAAGCTGTTTGGTGGATGCTTGTGTATAATTTCAGTGTCACAAACATTCTGCACACCAGTTGCTTTTGTAACCTATGTCTTTTATTCTAACATCCTCTTTGAGGTTGGATTGTAGCATTCACTCACATTAAATATTTTATTGATATATTTTGATTTATATACTTATAATAATTAACAATAAAAATATATTTGCATACATATGAATTGTCCTATGTAGTTTTCTGTATTTTGATTTCTTTATTTTAAAATTACTACACTGTTGTAATATTATAACATGCATTAGTGTCAGATAATAATCACTAGTATATTTGCTCTTATATATGAGAGAGTTCTTTTCTAATTTTATATACTTTTAACTTTCCAGGAAAATTTTAGTTGTTTTTGCTTTGATTTCTTCTTTAACAAAAAGTAAAGAATGGTAAAATTATAACCAGTTATTATTAAATGGTACCTTGGAAAAAATGATCATTTTTACAATAGTTTTATTCTTTGTAAATATGTTGAGTATTTGAGTCTTTTATGTTCTTTTCTGTATTTTTATTTTCTCAAATACTGCATATTTTTTTTTGTAAACATACTTGCATATGAAATGCAACATTCATGTGACATCAGCATAAAACATACATGGTATTTTATAGTATTTGTCAAACTGAATATAATACATCAACAAAAATTTTAGCTCCTAGAATATACATTTTACAAAATTTAATAATTATTTCTTCCTCTTTCGCCATGCCCCTTGGTTTCAACTCTGCCTGCATTCTCATGTACAGTTGTTGTAATTTTAGTCTCTGTTTCCTGTGTGGGTTTATCATATACATATGATTACAAAACAGTTTCTACAAATGGATAGCAAAATCTTAAATTATTATTTTTCTTTTTTTTAATGCATTTATTTCACATATTCATCAATACTGTTCAATTCATCTATATGATGTGATTTTTTCAGTGTTACCTAAATTTCTAAAAATTTTGAGTTTTATGATTATTGAACACTTAGATATATCCTTTTTAAAGTGACTCTTCAAGAATTTTTTGTTTGTCTTTTGTAAATGGTTATATTTCTTCTTCTTATAAGCATTTGATTATATGTGAGGAAATTAGGTTTTTTTTTTTTTTTACTTTTTAATTTTTTCAGGTTTTAATGTAATCATTTGATGAATAGATTTTTTGTTACCTAAATTTCTAAAAATTTTGAGTTTTATGATTATTGAACACTTAGATATATCCTTTTTAAAGTGACTCTTCAAGAATTTTTTGTTTGTC